CTGTCGATATCTTCTAGAACAGACCTAATAGCAGAATCTACACACCTCAACTCTGCAGCGGCAGCCATTGTTGTTGTCACCCAAGCGCGATTTGGTCACGTGGTTGATTACGTTACTGTTGATCATCTGTCCATCATCGTATAAAGCCCGCCCTGACAATTTGATTGGATCGCCAGAGAGTGGGCGATCATACTCGCGCTACTATTGAGCAATGCCAGACCGAACTTCCCGACCTCAAACATTGTGGGCGGGACTAAGTTCGGAATGGCACCCAGACTAGTTCTTTACATGTTCCCTTAATCTTTTTAAGCAGTGTATTTTTTTGTAGAACTTCCTTACAGCTGACAGCTGAAAGAAATTTTGAGTTCAGTAACTTTACTCAGGTTTGCAGTAGGGGGGTGAGGGTGTTGGCCTAGAGGTTAGAGCAGTGCGCTACTGCGCTTGTGCTCTGAGGGTACAATTACCTGGTTTGATCCCCACAACCTCCACTCTGGGTTCCTGAGCAAGACCCTTAACCCCATTACTCCCCAACGGGATGGGTCAAGATGCAGAGAGTGAATTTTGTTGCTTTGTACTTGTGACAAATAAAAGCTATGCTGCTATAGACTTAGACTGCTGGAAGACATAGGGATCCCTTTTCATCATCCTGCTTCATTCTTTCTCTTCATCCTTCTTCATACTCTCCCATTCTGCAGTATTTTTTAGTTCAACCTCTAACATTCTGCTCTCTCTGCTTTTATCATCATAGTACCTTCATCTGGTCTGGACAATAGAGGGATTTACATTTACAGTAATTAACCTTGAATTGGTGTCAGTACTGGAAAATGTTATTTACAGATTCAGCTTAGGTTCTGCAGGAATGAACTAATGCACAAAAATGAGAAACCCTGAATGTGCTCACATTTCAAAATGTATTACTCTGATGAATTATTTTTAGTGGAAAATGTGAGAAAATGTTCTCTGAAGCAGAAAAATTAACGTATTTTAGTGAGAAACTATTACTTTTTCAAAATACAAAGCCTAAACTATTTAAGGATATAATACAAATTTTTTTATAAATGATGAAGAAATGATTGCAAGTGACTCTTTAAAAGAAACAACAAACCCCAAAATCATTCATCCTAAAAAGTCCTGATGCATTTATTGATTTTGAGGTTCATTTTTTCAAAGCTTTAAAGACGAATCACCAAAATCCACATTTACTTTTTGTTATTAATTGATCCCATTTAAAGAGGCACAACAAACATGACAATGACAGCAAAGCGCGTTGTTCACACAAAGCTTTCTTTGTGTCACTGAATCAAAGTTCTCCGTTTGAATCTGCCAGCAACTATTCAAAAACCAGAGAAAGCAACATCAATTTCTTCGGTTTTCATCCTGCAGACTCCAAACAACTTTACAGTTTTGTCTTTCTTACGAAGAACATCTGCTGTGTAGCGATCCATTTGTGTGCATTTTCCTTTTTTTCTCTCCTTTATTCCACTCACATGGTAGGACGGCTTTTTTCTAAGTAGTAGTGTTGTCTGCATGTTGCCATCAGTTCTAATTAAAGCTTATTTTCCAGAAGACAAGCCTTTTAACACAGCTCTATAAATACAGACAAGTGTTAAAATAGCGTTTCAGATGTGCGGCGTGTGACTGAGGTGTTTCTGCATGAGTAATGAGAAGGAATCAGAATGAGCGATCCTGCTGATTAATGCGAAGCAACAATAGCAGACAGATGTTTTAACGGGTGGTCTCTGTCTGTGTGCGGACAGAGTGTGAAGCAGTCAAATGAGAACATTTATTCTCTGGCCTGCAGAGTCTCTCTGATTAACTGGGATCTATTCAGTGTCAGAAACAATTAGGAAGTCTCGCCGAAGGATTCATATCCCTTAAACCTTTTAACTTATTTTTTCTAAATAGTAGAAAATTTTTTTTGGATTACAAAAAGCTCACATTTATATAGAAATTCTTTAAAAAAAATCCCTTCTTTGCTAGCATCTGTCATTGGAGCATCTGCGACGCTTTAAATTAGAGTCATTTATATATTTTCCAGTGATGAAAGATGCATAACAAAAAAGATGAACAATTACTGTGACTCGAATCTTTACAGCCATTAATAACTAAATCTACCAGCTCGATCGTTGAAAACTTGATGGATTAGAAGATTCGCTGAGGCAGTACTATGATCCTATTTAACCAGTTAATAACACACATTTCATGCCTGCAAATAACTCCACAGACCCGGGCCTGAAAGCAGCTGCACAGGGTGGACCAAGTGGGTGGACAGGAGGCAGATGCAGGCTCCAGATTGGCTCTTAAAGGAAAAGTCCGGTTATATTCAGAATTAAAACTTCTGAAAGTTCTTTAAATATGAAATTATTAATTACTGTTCAATAAATTATAAGTGTTTTTAATTCAGAGTAATTTTCATGTGAATGTGCTTTACTGGAGGCATCCATGTTTGTCAAAGAACACTACTGCCACCTACTGGTTAGTGACGTCACGGTGCGGTATCGGCTGTTGATCAAGTCCCAGTGCTGTATCTGGTGTTTGTCACAACGCGCTATTATCCAAGTCATCTTGAAAACATTCTTCTTCCAAATGTTGGCTACATATTACGGGTTTTTTCTCTGGCCAGAAGTTCGATGGCAAATCCTCCCTCTTCAAGTTGGCGATCCAACGACCAACCCGTCCGTGGAGGATCAGGAATCAGAAAGGTGGAATAACTCTTTGTTTTCACTTTTACCCGATGTATTCCAGCATCCAGCTGCCATGCACGTGGGCATTGTCAGTTTCACTATAGCTCTGGTGAATTTCAATGGTGAAGTCCTCTGGAAATCTTCAATAATTGTTGTTGATTGCAGATGTGTCTAGTAGTTCCCATTGATTTAGCTTGGAAAGCGGGGAGAATGGCGCTAGGCTTACCGCACCGTGACGTCACTGCTGGAAGATGGCAGGAGGGAGGGGCTACTATATTTGGGCAAAAAGGGCCGCCCCCAGACTCAGTGATCGCGACAAAAATTATTGTTCTTATTTTCTTACTGATTAAAGCTAAATTCATTAAATCACACCTTGCAGACCAGACTTTTCGTTTCAGGGTGTTTCATAATGGTGGCTACTGAATGGGTTTATATACAAGTTAACAACAAATCCAAACAGAAACATGAAAAGATATAGAAAATGAAAGTAAAAAGTAGAAGCTTCCACAATGTTACCAATCAGAATTAGATTTCACTCAGTTTAAAAACTCTTCTCAAAGGGACATTTAAGGAAGGCCAATTCTGCCAATCTGATGAAAAAACAAACAAAAACTTTTATTTCATAATTTGGACCTAAATGTCTCATAACTTGGATAATCTTTATCATCATTGTGACGTGGTCTTAGCTAACTCATTATCATCAGGTAGTAGCTCAAAATGACTTTGCATAAAATGGGATAATTATGAGATAGAAAAGTCATTATTACAAGATCTAATTATTATGAGATACTATTTCATAACAAAGAGATGGCTAAGTCAAAATAATGATACTGGACTGGAAACTTGGACTTTAACTAGGCCACTCTAATGCTTCCCAATATTCCCTAAAGTAAATCATCACTGAAGCTTTGTTGTGTTTGAGGTCTTCCTGCTGAAATCTGAACTTCAGTGTTAAATCTTTTCCAGACTGTAAAGTCGTCCTGTAAATAGATCCGTCCATTTTCTCATTAATTCATTTATCCTCCTTAAATAAAGCCCCATGAATCCAGCATATGTTCTATGCTTGGAAATAAATGCACATCCCTTCCTTAGGATCTTAAAAAACAAAAAACGTAAAAAAAAACTGTTCTTAAGAGCTGACAGCTGGTCCATGAGCTAAATAAGCTTTAGATGCAGAGAAATGGTGTACTGCCCCTTTAAAGCACCGTCCCCAGCTCCACAGAGCCCAGTAATATATTTGTTTTGTCAGTTTCTCTAAAACCTTCTGGATGTTTGAGGATCTGTTGGTTTATTGACTTTGTTAAACTACAGATATAAGCAGATAGACTGTGCAAACAGAAAAGTTTAACCCTTTAAAGCCTGAACCATGAAACAATTGAAAGAACATTCAAATTTTGCAAAATTAGAACGTCATTGAACTTTATGAAAAATGTATAAGTTAAATTAGATAGATAGATTCCGTATAATCTTTTATACATTTTCTGTTCACTAAATGTGTATGAATATTTAAGTCAGTGTTTTAATAAAAAAACATCACACTGATGATGCAAAAGTCTCAAAAACTCATGTGTCACACTGCAAAAAATGTAAATCTAAGTAAGTAAATTTTTCCTAAAACAAGTGCATTTCTTCCTGAATTGAGCAGGTAAGTAAGACTTTTTGCCAATGAAATAAGACAGTTTCCATTTAAAATAAGAAAAAAACAACTATATTCTCTTACTTCAAGTGCATAATATCTACTTTATCTTATTTTAAGGGTAAAAATGCTCATTCCATTGGCAGATCATCTTATTTTCCTGCTCAAATTTAAAGTAAATACACTTGTTTAAAGACATTTTTACTAATTTTCAGAACGTTTTTGCAGTGCACATATGATACCGTTGGCTTTAAAGGGTTGAAGGTTTGATTTCAACCTGTTGATTCTGGAAAATATCAATATGACAGAAAAAAATCAGATTTCAGGAGGAAAAAAAGGAGGTGTAGATTGACAAGATGAAGGTGAGTAACACAGAGAAAAACTGGAGCAAAAGTGGGCTGGGAGAGGAGGAAGAGGAGTTTATCCGAAGTGAAGGAGAGGGAGGAGAGAGGGGGCTTAAATCCTCGCACCATCATTACCAAGGCGCACATGCAGCCCCTCCTGTGATGGAGTGAGAGGGGATGGAGAGAGATGCAGAGAAAAGATGGAGATGCACAGGAAACAGAGAGCAGGATTACTGGTGTGACAGCACAGGCAGATGAGCGTCAGCGCAGCGGAAACTCTGCTGGAGGAAAATAAAGAAATAAATCAGTGCAACAGGATGAGGACCTGCTAGAGCACAGCCTGCCCGACCTCACAGACCTGCTGCCATCTGTCCTGCTCCTCTCTGATCCTCACGCTTCCAGCATCCTGCAACATCTGGATAACCTCACATCCATACGGGAAGGAGCACAGCAGTGGAGGAGAATCAGACTTACATTTGATACTTTTTATTTTTGATAAAGTAGGATCTAAGGAGGAGCATCGACCACCAGGAAGCCGGAAAACTAGACCAAAGGAGGGGGGGAACTTTCTTCAACCTGCCTAGGTGGGCTCCAGACCTTTCCATATGTGTTTGGGAGATTTTCCAACTTACCACGGATTTGTTCTTTCTGAGGAGGAGGGAGGAAGAGGAGGCACCACCTTCAGCAGAGCTCAAGTCTTACAGGGGTTTATGCTCCTGTCGCTGAGGAAGACTTTTTTTTAATTCTCCCTCTTTCACTCCTGCCCTCATCCGAGCAGCGGGGAGCCTGACGGATACAGACGGGGGAACCAAACACTGCCAGGGCTCCCACACCTCCCTCTCCTTCTTTCACCCTCCGTCACTTTCCTCTCCTGTCCCGTTTTGATGCCCTGTCTTCACCTCCACGGCCGCTTGTGAATGTGATGCACGCAGGAAGGCAGACTGGGAGCGGAGCAGCCAGACAGAAAGGCTTTTTTTGGGGGGGGAAAGAGACACACACACACTCACCGTCACGTTGTGAAGTCCTCCAGGAGAGTGTGTGGTTATCAAAGGCTGCCTCGCAGACGCACACACTCTCACAGAGGGGCTGATGAACTCGCTCTCCAGCTCGTGGTCTAAATGTGGACTCCTACAGGTGCTGAGAGGGGAGAGAGAGGCAGGTGAGGAGCAGGTGGAGGTAAAACAGGGACGCTTTGAAGAAGGGAAGAGAAACAATAATGATGGAGCAGCTTAAGTTGGATGAGAGCAGAAAACACAGGTAAGTCTATTAAATGATAGAGGCCATTGGTTTATATGAGCAGGACTGGATATGAATCAATGCAGAATATAAAAGCCTCAGGAGCACCCTGAGAGTGCACACTGAGCAGGCACACTTTTAGTGTTTATAAGCGACGAGTTTCCTCCAGAGAAAGCAGGCAGCTGTTAGAGGAACTGTGAGGGCAGAGCTGGGAGCGTTTGGTTCTTACTGGGAGTCTGAGTTCAGCCTGTTTCCTCTGTGCTGTTGGTTCGCCCTGAAGCCTGCTCCAGTTTTATCCCAGAAGCTGCAGCGTCACAGCTTCTCAGACCCGTCCTGAACAGGAGCTCTGGTCCCTTTATGGACGGTTAGGAGATTTAAACCCCCAGAAAATGAGTCACTCTATTTGACTTTTAAATTGCTGTTTGTGTATTTAATCATTTTCAGCTCTGTGCTCGTTTTTAAGCAGCTATATTCCCCATGAATGTTTTATTTTCCCATCTGAGCGATCATATGATTTCCTATATAAGAAGCCAACAAGGCATTAGTCTGTTTTAGTTTAGACCAGGGGTGTATCTACAGGGGGGGCAAGGGAGGAAACCATGGGCGGTTCTAGACAGATATGGAAGTAAAACAATCTCATTGAAATCTCTTTTTTTGTACTCCAAATTTCAAACACTGATTTTTTTTCACACATTTAATGCCTTACAATGAATTTTTATCTGGTGAAAATTTAGCTGCAAATGTGTCAACCTTTGCAACATATTCTCATTATGAGTGCGTATGAAATCGTACGAAAAGCTATGCACACTATTTCGTACGTTTTGGACGTTTTTCCCCAAAAAACCACATCAGTGCGCATGCGCAGGCAGACAGAAAAAAAAGCAGATCCGTGGACGGACGTAAAACTGTGAAAAACAGTGCAATCATCACTTATTCATGTCTCTAACTACGTTACTTGCTGTTTTATATCTTAGGGTCAGGGTTAGGGCTAATTGTAATTTATATTCTATATTTGTGAATGGTGCGTCAGATGCGCATGCGCATACGACTAGGGGTGTGCAAAATAATCGTCCTGATGATGCATCGTGATTCTAATTTTCGTGATCTACTGCATCGATTCTTGACGCCAAGTATTGATTATTAATTTAAAAAAATTAATAAATAAAATTGCATGAATGGTTGGCGAACATCAGCCAAAATCAAGTGTAATACAACTTCCAGTCCAGTAGATGTCGCTGCGGATGTGTTGACGCACGCTGCCTTGTGTCACAAGCATTTCCGGCCACGGGATACTGCGCAGAGTCATTCAAAAAACAAAACATGGAGGAGAAAATATTGCAATGCATTGCAATAATTCAAGTATCGTGATGCATCGTGATAGAATCGCATCGAAACGTCTTTGGCAATACCCACCCCTACATACGACTGAAAAAAACGTCCAAAACGTACAAAATTACGGTGCATAAATTTTCGTACGATTTCTTACGCACTCATAATGAGAATAGGTTGACCTTTTGGTGAGCTCCAGCAAAAGCAATCTACACTCGATGCAGTCGAGCAGCTTCCAGCCAATGAAAAGAGCTCATTTTGTCAGAAAAGAAAAAGTAGGGCGCTGTTCCAATTCATGGGCTGCGTCAGAAGGCCAGGTTCGAAGTGCGATGACGTCATAGCGCGGCGCCGAGCTCTGGTTGGATTCCAAGACTCCTCGTTATGCGACCTTAAAATGCGTCCTTCTTTTTGCCCGATTTGAAGGACGGGTCTGATGTATCCTCGCTATCCTTGGTTTACCCAGGATTCATTGCGAGACCAAGCAAGCCGTGATCAGAGGAAAGGTTACTTGGAGCTGAACAGTGGTGAAAATTGGAAGTTCAGTTTAATATAATCCAGTCTGTGAATAGTTCCGTCTGAAATGAATGAAAATAGTTGTTTTAATGGTTATAGAGTCAGATATGTGGCGGTAATGTTTGGTTTATCTAAAGGTTTTTATCTGTTACTGTGTAAATGGGTTTGGCTGTAATTTAAGGACAGATTCTAATAGATCTGCAGGGTGGGGACTATAAATCTGATAGGAGTTAAATTTTTTTTTTGCTGTTTTGCACAATATGCTTAACAAAGACATTTTTTTTGTTGAAAATAAAAGATTTTGCAGACATATTCTTTATAGATACATTGTTTAGATTTACTTATATCTTTCTACCCCTTTCATAGAATAGAAAATCTCTTTATTGTCCAACAATGGGCAAATTTACAGCAACAGAAAGATTATTGAAAATGGTCAAACAAATGTGGACCTTAGAAAAATGTATAAGAATAACCTAATAGGGAAGAGTTAAAATTTAAACAATCACATCCTGTAAAGTGTTTTAACAATATAAAACTGTTCAGGGGAAGACCTGTTTGAATTCACAGCTAAAACTCTTCCGGTCTCCTTATTTTCAAGGACTTGGAAGGATCCAGTCTATCTAGTCCGCATCCTTGGAGGATGCATCCCAGGATTTCGAACAGAGCCTAGCTTTGCCGGCAGCCGCTTCTTTTGGATCAAACCAATAGCCTTGGCAGACGGGGGTGTAGCACTAGCTGTGATCGGCTCAGTTATTTCACCCAGTCCCATTAGATGAAAAACTCTGATGACTGTCTATTAGTAGCTACCTGACGTTTTGTAATAATATCTATTTAACAAGAAAAACTCCTCCTCAGTTTCATTCAGCCGGGAACAAAGCTACGCCCAACTGCTGTGTCAGGTGACCAAATGAGCTCATTTCATTGGCTAGCAGCTGCTCGATTGTGTTGATTGCTTTGGCTTGAGTTCACCAAAAGGTCAACATATTTGCAGTTGCAGCTGAATTTTTTTTTGCATAGATCTAGATTTGATCGAAAACTGTCATTTTAACCTAAACTAAGTAAAAGAAAATATGTGAAATTCCCAAATTATGAATGTTTATTGACCTAATAAAACAGAATTGTAATTTAACCTGATTGAATAGAATTTTCCCTTCATGCAGCTCTCTTAATATTTTTGAATTCCTTCCCGTGTTTGTTATTTCATGCTTTTCTGTGCCCCCATGACAACATGCTGGCCCCCTACTGGCCCCCTGGTGCATTTGGTGTAGAACCGCCACTGGAGGAAACATGTTGTTGGTGTCGTGGTTTTTGTTCTGTTTAATTTTTATCTTTAAGTTTTATTAGTTTTGTTTCAATTTTGTGTTATTCTAGTCATTTTTTAAATTGTATTTGAGTTCTTAGCTATTTCTTGTTTGTCCTCTGCTGCCCTCTTGTGTTAACCTGACTCCGCCAGATGTATTTGCTCCGCATATCCATCTGGAAACCTTCCGTTGAAGTCATTTTGGGAAGGGGCGAAAATACTGGTTAGCTGATTGGCCTATGTTGGTGATAGACGGGCCAAATAAACCAATCAGATCAACGAAGCATATGACGTACTAACAGAGCGACGACGAAAACACAACCACAAGCCAGGCTACTTTTGCTGAAACCAGTCGGGAGAAGAGCAAAAACATCTTTTCCTCTGAGAAAAGCCTCCAGAGCAGTGTTTTGCTCTTCTTTCAGTGAAGAAATACTCTGTAATTCCGATAAAACTTGCTCGATAGCCACGCTAACGCTAGTTTCATCGGCTGAAGCCGCCATGTTCTTTAGACTGAACTGTCGCGCTTCTCGTTGTGTCACACCTCAACCCGCCTCAAAGCCAACGCTGATTGGACGTTCGTTTGGTGAACGGCTCCAAATTTTCTTTAACGGAGAGTCTCCAGACTGATCTGCGAGTGAAACCTTGAAAGCTCGCGAGATCAGGATGGTCTCACCAGGCTACTCTTGTGTCAGGCTCCTTTCCCCTAGCTCCCTTCTAGACTCCTCTGTTCACACCTGCTCCCAATGTGCTGATGAAGATTCTCAGTCTTCCAGGTCATAGTCATTCCATAAAAATTTAAAAAAAATATCCACTGGACTTGGTTTCCAAGATTTGAAGACGTTTCGCCACCTCTCCAGGAAGCTTTCTCTATCAAATGTCCCAATCTGCTGATTAGCCTGGTCTTTGTTTGTCTCTCCCATATATGCTCCTGCTCAGTTGCTTTTACTGGTTTGTCATCATTTCTTTTCCCCCTTGTTGTGAGTATTCCTGGTTCTCACTTTTTGTGGATTTATGTTTTTGGATTTTTGCTTCTCTTACCCTTTTTTTTGTTATCAAATCTGCACGTAACCACCTTCAGCTTCAGTGTCTGCGTTTAGGTCCTGTCAAACCTCCACCCAGGCCAGAGAGCCTCTAATTACTGATCCAAAACTATGGTATACTAATTAATCAAAGACCAAACCAAAACCATCTAAAACCAACAAAAACAGCAATAACATTTTATGATTAAGAACTTTTTATTGTGTAAAATGAAGATTTTTATTGTTATTTAAGAAATATTGTTTTAATATAATTGTCAAAGTACTGGATTGGATCAGTTTTTATGACTCCCCAATAGAGCCCATATGTAGCTTTGAATGGCTTCCCTGAGTTTTTATCAGCTCTGCTCACAGAAGATATTTAATTTACACACCATTAAATTGCATTAGACTTAGACTCAACTTTGTTAATTGAGTCTAAGTATAATACGATTTTATAATTAGGTTTGATCCAATGAAATCTCTTTATTAATGGATACTATTATTTAATTAATCTATTTTTTTCAACCTTCTAAAAATCATCAAGGTCATCCAGGTCAGAGTCATTCCAAAAATAGAAAGTTAAAAACAATCCACTGGACATTATGAGAATAAAGTCGTAATATTAAGAGAATAAAGTCCTAATTACGAGAAAAAAATTATATTTTATGACAACTCTTACAAGAAGCCCTTTCTTCCCTAAAATGAGGAATGTGGAGCATCATGTGAAGTTCTACTTTAGCATCGGTTTGATAAATCAGGAAATCTTTTAGCAGCAGCATCAAACTGGGCAGGATGTCAAAGTGGACTCTGGTTGCTGATTGGTGGAGCTGGTCGGCCGTCATCTGCTGGGCGGAGCTCCG